GAATGAGAAGCAGCGGTTCAAACACAAGGTGGGTGGAGGAATTCAATGGACCTACAATTCAGAAGATGTCTACATCGTTGGAGTGTGGTTTGGGCATAATATTGGAAATCGTATCGGATACGAACATTTGCGTTTCTGGGACTGTGAAGATGAAGCGGTGCCGCGTGACCGCTGGCAGGCCATTGTCAGATGTTTCTTTTTTTTAAGAAATTTTGGGTGAGATCTAGTGCCTTTGGTTTTGTGTGAAGTAGTGTTCGGACTGATGATGCCACAGACATCAAGTTGTGTCGCCGCTGCCGCAGGTGCCTGCCGTGACACGAACGGATCGCGTCTGGACAGCTCCGTGGACCCAATCAAAGGACCAGTTGAATCCAGCCATGTGGGACGGCATCGGATGTCATGCGATCGGTCTGGACGGTGCTATGTGGCGGAAGCGGCCGCTTGATTGTACTGTACCAGGTCGTGCTGCAATGAAGAGACGCTGGTCCCAAGCAGTGTCGGGCGCTCCATCCACGCGAACAGAACCAGGTGGCGCTGGCCCCGGCTCTGGGACGTTGGTAGGAGCGCCCAACGTGGCACTAGGTCCACCCCAGAACCCAGCTATGCCAGGTGGCGCTGGACCCGGGTCTGGGACGTTGGTAGGAGCGCCCAATGTGGCACTGGGTCCACCCCAGAACCCAGCTATGGCAGCACCAGACCATTCGCATGAAGGCGGGATGCTGCTACATCCGAACCAGTGGCACTCTGTACACCTACGAGCCATACGCAGATCTGCGGATCGATTTGTCTCAAGGTGTTACGACCTTGACAACTGCGAGCAGGGGAGTCGATGCTGGAGACTCGACGGATGGCCGTGATGAAGTTCTGCAAGAGCAGTTGATGAGCTTGCCGTGCTACAGGAACGTGCTGCAGCAGGCCGAGCAGCTCATCGAACAGGAAGTCCGCCAGGGCAAGACGATCCGCGTGGGTGTGGAGAGCACGCTGGGAAGACATCGCAGCATCGCTTTCGCGGAGATCTTGCGGCAACGACTGGATGTGTACACCCACGTGGACCTCCGCCACCTGGAAGAGCATCGCTGGAAGGACGGTGCTGACCCCCGACTGCCACCGTGGGAAAAGAAGGAAGGTTCGCTTGTGCTCAACGTCGAACCGGGAAGCTGATGCTAGCGTATAGACGCACAATTGGTGGCGTTGGCCCCATTGTGTTTGAGTATCAATGTGTGAGACTGGAGTTGCGAGTGGACCCGCATGCCTGCAGTGGACGGACCGTCCGAAAGACGGCTACATCGTGGGGGTTTGGTTTGTGTATACTGTTCGGAAACGGCACACCTTCGCTTCTGGGAAGTGAAAATGGGACGTGGGGGCGTAAGCTAACGTTGATGTTTGTGTTGTCGTTGTTGTCGTTGTTGTCGTCGTTGTTGTTGTTGTTGTTGCTGCTGTTGTTGTTGCTGTCGTTGTCGTTGTCGTTGTTGTTGTTCTTGTTGTTGTTCTTGTTCTTGTTCTTGTTGTTGTTGTTGTTGTTGTTGTTGTCGTTGTCGTTGTCGTTGTTGTTGTTCTTGTTGTTGTTCTTGTTGTTGTTGTTGTTGTTGTTGTTCTTGTTGTTGTTGTTGTCTTTCATTTGATGACTATTCGATGAGTTTCAGTTGTATATGGCATATGGCGTCAGTGTCTATGTTTACGATGTCTTTGCATCATGTGGTTCGCATGTTCTGGCAGGTGCTGCTTGCTGCGCGGCGCTGGTGTGGGCCGTGAGTGGTGGTGCTGCTGTAGAGGCACTGGGAATGCTGATGTGTTTGACGACATAGTAGCCTGTGTCGTCATGAGTATGAGGGTCTAGCGACCGATGTGACTGTTGACGTATTATCGACTGTTTGTTTTGGCATGACCAGCTATGGCGGCAATTGAGTGCCATTTGTTGATTGGCTGTTTCGTTCTTTTTTTTCTTCATTTGGCGATGAGGATGTGTAGCATCGTGCCCGTACACATACATTCATCATACCTAGTTGGTCGAACACAAGACTAGTAGATTGAATTTGTTTTTGGAACATGCAATAAACGTCTTCAGTGATGTGTATATTTCTTGTGCTGCATCGCTTCTGTTGCTCGAAGCAATGCTGAGTGATGTTTGTGGTGCCAAACCTCAGGTGGCGTTGTCCCCGAGGAACATGCATTCCGTGATTCGCATTTTCCCATGCTGGAACTCCTCTGCTGTGGCCTGGTGGTGCTTCTGTTGCAACTTTTGCAGCAGAGTTGCTGGCAGGCCCCATGTGGGGAGGTAGGGAGGGTGGGCCAGGCTGCCCGAGCGGGCAGCCTGGAAAAAAGACCGCGCAGGTCAAGACTACGACGCAACGCTATTTCTCGAGAGACAGCATGCTGAACCACTCAACATGCAACCGTTATTTTTTTTTGAACCTGAAACAGCCTCGACGGTCTGCCCGGCGGAGCCCTGGGTCCGCCAGCGGGTTCGGCCGGGTCGCTCAGGTGAGAGCGGAAGTGCGTGTGACACACAAGCAATTCTCACACCGGATCTTGAGGATCAGTTCATCATCCGTGCCATCTGAGTGCCTTGCGAGTCAGTTCCCAGCGTCTGTGGCTGGGCGGTCCAGCCAGAGACCCCGGGTTTCCTGTGCTTGCTTTGCGTCAAGGTTTGATTCAATCGAGCTTCCATCTCTGTCGGAACAAAAATAGGACCCCGATGGAACCAGACACTGCCATGTCTGTTGCCAGCGACAAGTTGGACAATCTCCGGCGGCAATAACTTCTTGGTGATCTTTACTCGCAGACCAAGTTACACAGGTTGATCGGTACAGCTCCGTGCACCCGGCGGAATTTGTGTTTTGTACAAATGATAAATCTTTTCAACATCCGTTGCAATATTCAGACTTACTGAGCTGTGGCAACAGATGTTGAAAAGATGTCATGTCCGCAATAATGTGAGTGCGGCCAACTGCAAGACATTCAACTGCATCCGATCCCAACGCATCTGAGCAGCAAAGCTTTGTGCACCTGCCCGATATGATTTTGCATCATGCCCGTGCACATACATTCATCACACCCAGTTGGTCAAAGACAAGACTAGTAGATTGAATTTGTTTTTTGAACATGCAATAAATGTCTTCAGTGATGTGTATGGGTTGTCTATAGAGCGACAGCTGGTGGCGCTGTCCTCGCTGTTGCTGAGCAGCTCCCAGGACGTGTTACAGCCGTCGGCGATTGTAGAAAGACTTCCCTGTTCCTTTTCCAATCTGAAGATGATATGATTTTGTTGGACAGATCAACAAGAGCCGTTCTTATTTTCCTTTTTGTTTGGGTTGTTTCGTTGTCCCGATCAGTTCATCATCCGTGCCATCTGAGTGCCTTGCGAGTCAGTTCCCAGCGTCTGTGGCTGGGCGGTTCAGCCAGAGACCCCGCGTTTCCTGTGCTTGCTTTGCGTCAAGGTTTGATTCAATCGAGCTTCCATTTCTGTCGGAACAAAAATAGGACCCCGATGGAACCAGACATTGCCATGTCTGTTGCCAGCGACAATTTGGACAATTTCAGGCGGCAACAACTTCTTGGTGATCTTTACTTTCAGACCAATGTGCAAAGGCAGAAAGGAAATGAGGTTACCAGTCTTGCTTGTCATGTTTGTCACATTTAAAATGTTAAGTTGAACAAACATGGCAAGCAAGACTGGTAACCTCATTTTCCCTTTCTGTCTTTGCACATTGGCTTGAAAGTTAAGATCACCAAGAAGCTGTTGCCGCTTGAAATTGTCCAAATTGTCGCTGGCAACAGCAATGGCCAGGTGGGCTTCGTTTGGTCTTGGCATCTATTTCGACGAATTTGTTTGACTTCAGGCAACAGAGGGACAGCTGGCGTTGGTGACTCCGTTGTCTTGGTGAGAAGTTGGACATGACCAAAATCTGTATGGTTGCCTATAGAGCGACAGCTGGTGGCGCTGTCCTCGCTGTTGCTGAGCAGCTCCCAGGACATGTTACAGCCGTCGGCGATGGTAGAAAGAAGTCCCTGTTCCTTTTGCAATCTGAAGATGATATGATTTTGTTGTGCAGATCAACAAGAGCCGTTCTTATTTTCCTTTTTGTTTGGGTTGTTTCGTTGTCCCACACAATCGTTATTGAAGTGTCTTCGTCAAGATGCTGTTTCGTTAACTCATAAAATGATTTGTCGGCTACAACTGTGCCTCGTCTGGCTCGTGTGTTCTGGCAGGTGATGACTGCGTCGCGATGCAGCTTTGCAACACCAGTGCCGTGGAGGCATCGAGCGTGCTTGGTGCCACTACAGGATGTTTCAACACGTTTCCGATACTTTCTGATTCGTTGATCCATATATTTTATTTTGTTGCATCGACGCATGTGATTCCCAACACAAGACATTTCATGTGTGATACGTTCGTCTCGCATGACTGCCATGTCTTGGAAGGCGCTGCTTGCCGCGCGCCACTGCGTTGCGACGCCAGTGCTGCTGTCGCGGAGAGAAAACAGATTCGGAGCAATGGTGTTGTTCCACTGTTCTACGATAGGTGTGAGCATTGACATTTTCATGTCCTATCATAATCGATACTTTATCACCATCATCTTCAACATACGTGTGAGCATTCGGGTTCGTGGGCTTCATCTTGTTTATTGCCTTCATTTTTGTCCTTCCTCTTTTCGTTCGCACTTTCTGTTCGTTCGTTCGTTCAGCCACATCATATCAATGCATTACGATATTACGATGCATTGCAATACGTTTTATCACATGACATGTCAATTTATTGCTTCCTTTGCCAGTTCATTCGCTCATTTGTTCATTTTTCAATCCATTTGATATATTTGATTACTTGTTCACTTGCTCACTTGTTCTTTCCTCCCCTTGCCTCATTGGCTCATTCACTTGTTGGCTGGTTTGCTCATCTCTTCATTCCTTTTTTTCTTCAGTGAGAAGTTTAGCGCCACTCATGCTGCATGTGTGCAAGCGCAGAAACTCCTTCCAGCAATGGGTAACACAGCCAAAGCTTCCGAATGTCTTGCTGGATATAGTCCGGCCAGTACTGCTTATGCGGGCCTTTTCTGCCAAAACCTGGCAAACCGTGCAGACTCATGCTCAAATGTCTAATAAAGTGATACTACATGGAGCTTCATGGGGTTTGATCGGTGTTTCCCCAGGTACTAGCGCAGCTTGTAGCAAAGCAGTTCTTTCATTTCCTGCAGGATGATTCATCAAGATGATAAGAATAAGTCTACCAAGTCCGTGGTAGCTGGAGCCTAAGAGTTCACAGTATCGGCCCTGAAACACACTTTAAGCACACTCAGGGTCCAGCTCACTGCGTCAAGCGCCACCTTGGTGCTTGTCAGCTGCATCTCATGGCAGCGAGACAAAACACAATAAGATATCCAGGATATGAAAACCTCAAAGTCAAGGTTCTTGTATGTTATTGTAGTGAAAGACGTGGGTACTACATGGTACTACGGCACTTTGGCATTTCGACATTGAACATATGAGCAGTGTTCAAAACCCCTGTTGGTTGATTTTTCTATCGGGTTCTGCTATCCAATATGCTGGGGATTATCACAATCCATTATTGTGGCAAATCCTATGAACAGCCAGTCTTGAACAGTGCTCCTATGCAAGTCTTGCCATGATTATGAAGCACTTGATGCCAAATTGCTGGGCTGCATCCTGTCCCTAGATACGTTCCCTCAATCCGAGGGGCTGCATCAATCGGAGCGCCGATCTCCGTTGCTCGGCAAAATTGTTCAGACCAGGCGTGCCTCCCTCCCATGGTGTGCTCCGCATATCTCCTGCAGATCAAACGCAGGCGAAAGGTAGAAAGGTAAAGAAATGCAGGCACAAGCGGAGCTGAACAGCTGACCGAACAAATCCGAACATGTCCAAACTACAAAGGAACCGTCACAAAATGTGATCGCCAGGTCAGCGCCACGTCTAGATGTGTCCCCATCAATACACCAGAACCTGGTCACTGTGGAACCGTGGCCTAACAGGAAAGCAACAATAACATCAAATCACCATCACTCCAGTGCTGACTCATGCCTCTTTTACAAGCTAAGACTGATCCAGCACAATGTGTAGGAGATCCATAGTGGATGTAACATGATGTAACTGCTTCGTAGAGATCACCACTGGTCCTGGCTCCCTGAATTTCCACCGCCTCATGAGGCAACATTCTCCTGAGCAGATTGAAATGGCGCATCAAATTATAGAACATCCCGCCCAACCCCAACAATCCAAGCGGATTTTATGATGAGAAGATCATAGGAATATGGGAACCACATGGAACCGGAACCACCATATCAGTTACAGACTGTTCCTTCCTGCATGTCCAAACGTCGCTCCCCAATTTTTGTCTGGCCCCTTCAGCATAGAGAAGTTCTGGGATTTCCAAGGCTCTCTGTCACATAGATGATGGCCAAAAGTTCGGGAAACTCCGTAAACATGCACTCCTCTTGGGTGCCGCCTGGAGCGACACAGAGTTTTGGAAGTTGGACGCACAACGCAAGAAATTGGCTGAGCCGCTTCTGCCTCCGCTCAGAACTCCACCACCCAAATACGAATTTGCAAAGTCGGCTTGCAAGTGCTCCTTCCCTCGGCTTCCGCGCTTGTTTTGGACCAGTTTCAGGAGCAAAATGGAGCAAAGGTCAGAAGGACACAACTTGCACGCGAGACCACAAACAGCATCAAAATCATCAAATCTTGGACAAAGCCACCGCCAAAGCTATGAATAGAGACGCCATCTTCCATCAGTTCCACAGGGCAAAAACCCAAATCCGAATTTGGAAGCTCAGGACGACCAAGTGCCTCAAAAGCTGTCCATTTGAAAGGCAAAGCTACCATGTGTGTGGGAACTTTATGCTGCAGAAACAAAAGGACATCCAACCCCACACCTTTCTTGTGATGGTGAGGTTCTCATCCAAAATCTCATCACCTGAGAGTAGCAGCAATTCTATGCATGGCGGAAGAGACTCAAAAAAAAACATGGCAACTATTGGCTTAAACATTCAGGCACAAATTCTCTCTTCGGTCCAAGCGTCTCAGCCTCGATGCTTGTCCAAAGAAAATGAGTACAGCCATCAAGACAAAGTTCTTGGTTTCCCATCTCCTTATGAACAGCATTGAACAGCACTTGCGGATCCTGGTGAACAGCCCTCAGCTGTCATATTCTTGGGAACCTTGTCCGGCGGAACCAGTAGAAACACAGGTTCAACCTGATCTAACAGTTTGGTCTTGTTTAAGTTACTCTTTACTTCCAATTTTGTCGGGCCTTTTCAGAACTTCATTCTTCGTCTGGCTATTGGAAACCTTGTTGCCCTCAAGATTTGACAGCCTACGCTATGGTCGTAGCATGTCGTAGCAATGAGGCTGATACGAGTAGTACCTCTCTCATGAAGCTTTCAGATTCTGTGTGCAAGGACAAGTCAGCGATCAGTGATCGTAATGAACACAGCCATCTCATTTTCAAAATGCGAGTTTGATCTGGAAAAGTCTGAGAGGTTCAACGTCTATTCCCTGTGTTGATGTTGACCTTTTTGGGAATCGGTATCTTTCAGATTGGAGTGGCCTTAGGAAAGAGTTCAGAGGGAGTTGTGAGCAAGCTAACCCGCTCACCCCCTACGGCCAAATCGCACCCCCCGGAGCGGACTAGAGCCGGGCATCTCCGAGTCATACTGCCAAAGCTTGGAAAAGTTGAAGCCAGGCATATCACCATTCCCAGGATCAGCTGTACCTTCAGACCACCTCGCAAGGATTGGTTTTCCACACACAAAATGAATGCCCAAGCTTACGATTCCTTCTGTTGCGAACTCAACTTCCGCATGCTCCACTATTAACGCTGCACTATTACTGTACAACACCGCTGTTCACAGGGCATATGATATCCGAACTACCGGACATTGAGGTTCACATCTGTTCCCTACGAGGATGCCTTCCAATTTCCGCTGGCGAAAATTGCCAAAACCATCTGGGGCGGGTCCATTGTTGGCCAATGAATTCGGGCAAACAAAATTGCGCGAACGAGAACAAGTTGTAGGTGCGGGAATCTGTAGGGCCTACGTGGCAAACTGAGGTTAGTGCAGCCATTCTCGCTCTTTTTTTCGCCTCGCGAGGTCACTTTAGTGGTTTTTGAGGCATGCGCGAAGGAGACAGTTCGTTGTTCCCCGTTGCTCACTGTTCTCACTGTTTTCATGCTGTCCTTATACCAATCTCATCCAATCTCTAGGATTTGCCCTGTTTCAGGTGATCCACGTGGATCCATATGGGATCTACTTTGCGGGTCTCCTCAAGTGCCGTCCTTAGGACCTCTGTTCACGCATCTTCATCTAGCTTGACCCAGTCTGTTGATGGCTTGGATAAAGGCGATTCTAGAGCCTTTGTACTACTACCCTAAACCACCTTTTGAAACTATTTAAATGTCTTTCTATCATTTTCGATCTATGTACCTACTCATCCATCCATGCATCCATCCATTCATCCATCTGTACGAGTAAGTGTACATCCACGGTTCCATTCCAGTTACCAGTCCCTTCACAGTCCAATTTCACTCCGACCTTCTGTGCAGTACACCGAAGAATCCCGCAGCCAGGATCTCCAGGCATTGTCGTCGCGAAAGCTGGAGCCTTCAGGGGATTGTCCAAAACCGATAGCCCAACAGTACTATTTTTATTGGGAAAGTATGGGTGATCAATCGTGGGATTTTGGGGAGTCCTATTTCAAACTTACATTGAAACTCCCCATTTCCGTTTTCAGTTTGTGAGAGGAAGGGCATATGTATCCAAATCTGGCACAAACATCAGTAGTAATTCGAGTCCATATCAATGCAGGAGATGTCAAAAAAAAGACTGCCAGCAAATAGGATTTAAGTTGACCCAAGTCCCAAGTCATGAAAAAATATTACCTGGACAATCTGTACAATCCACCAAACTGAGCTGCAAAAATCCATGCACCATCCACCCAGGAGGCCTCGCAGATGTTTTTTGCCCAGGCTCAGGCTCATGAAGCCTGTGGAGCCACGAGGGAGCAACAGCCGTGTTAACTAAAGACAGCCAACAAAAAAAGAACTCCAGGCTGTCCAGGCTCCGCAAAGATCCATAGAAGTCTCTTTAGATCTCTCAAATGTGTTCGAGCATCAAGTTTGATCAAGTCGCATACAGGTTGTCTTTGGGTTTTAGGAAGGCTGTTGTGCTGTTGAATAGGCAGTGAAGCGGTCTGGCTCTGCCAAGGCCGAACCCTTTCAACCAACGGATCAACAAATCTGTGCGGACAAGAAGCTGCGTAGAATACCTACGACACTGGAAAGCATGTCCAAATCGCCACCTAGCCCTGGTTGATCAATGAAGATACTGTCTCAAGTCATCAACGCAACTCTAACGCCAGCTGTACCATTCTGCAAAGGAGGCCAGCTTTGTGAAACAGCAACATCTGCCGCAAAGTCGCCGGATGGTGCCAAGATCTGCCGCCAGCAAGACCTTGCTAGTCACTTCATCACAAAAATGTTGCGTTCTCAGTACCCTGTATTACGAGGGTTTCCAGAAATGGGGTACCCCCAAATCATCCATTTTCATTTATAGACGGTTTTCCACTATGAACCATCCATTTTGGGGAACCCATTTATGGAAATCTACTGCGGAGTCATCTGGAAATCATGAAGGTATCCAGGCACATCTGAGACACCTGTGCAGCTTGTAACAGGCCTTGCCGTGCCAGCTCAGGCCTGAATCTCCAGTATGTCACAGATGGTCTAGGTGAGACACTTCATGACACTAACACATCAACTCTGGTTTTTCTGATGCTTAACCATGTCAAACCTGTTTCTTTCATTACTATGGCATACTATGGCTAGTTATCTCTGCGTGTTCAACTCCTTCACCTCACTACACAGCATGGTCCAGAGTGCGCTTCTAGAAGCATTTAGCAGAGCAACTGATGAATTTAAACCAGGAGGCAATGGTGCAACATGTTTCAACATGTTCATGAATTCTTCCATACTTGTCTTGTGATTGCGGAAAAGTGACGAGTTAGCATCTTCCTGAAGTTGGGCGATTGCGCTGTGAAGACCACAGAATCCTTGGTGCTGATAGGCTGTGATCCTCTGACCCAGTAGACACAGGCTGAGTCACAGCAGAGATTTTGCGTCGTGCAGGACCACTGGTCAAACGTGGTGCCGTCGGCACACGCATACCAAGCATTGCAGCATACCCTGTGTTCCTCCATTGACGGCAATATACGTACAAATATTGGTTGCTGCGCCGCCCTTAGAAAACGATTCCAATGAAATTACTATACAAGTACAAAGACCTATATGTTGAAATTATTTATATCTATTTGGAAATTGTCCATCATTCATCGTCAGAGTCGTCATCGTAGCTCCTGAAGCCTCCTTCCGGGTCTTTGCAGATTCTCTGTTTGAATCCTGGTTTTTCTTGTGCTGGTGAGCAATTGCATATCTGTCATGCGCAACTCCCTTCAATGTCAAGCTTCAGCTTATCAGTTTTTGGGCCTGCTACTGGTGAGCTGGATAGTAATAAATGGTACAAATAAATGGGATGAAGATAGATAAAGGCTTTCGCGCCATCTTTGCCTAGCGGCTCCCACAATGCTCTGCCTCAGGATGTGACTTCATGATGTCCCTGATGGCACCTGAGTGCTCAAGCATGCAGTCAGCTTCGGAAACATGTTGAACCGCCCTTTGTAGACTCTAAGCGCAAATGCAAATAAGTGAAATAAGTGCACAAGGAGAACTCTGGATCTCGCTGTATGAAGCTTTTGACTCTGCAATCCTATGTGTACCAAGGCCGCAAGCCTTCCACAAGATTAGCCTCCTTGCCGCTTGAATCCTGATCCTTGGCAAGGGCAAGTTTCGTCTCGTGGCAAAAAAAAAACGTCAGAAAGATTTGGAGCACAGAAGCTTCCGGTCTTTCAGGTTCAAATCCTGAATTTGTTCTACCGCAGCTGAGACCCAGGCACGCAGATCATTCAAGAGTTTCTCCAGTACTCGAATGTGAGAGGCCATGGCGCGGATATCCAATGACCACAGCACTGCTTTCACTTGCGACGAAAAGCTTCATGATGCTTCATGGAACGTTCGAACAGGTGTCAACACGATTGATGTGCTCAAGAATGGCCCGCTTGAGCGCGAGTTTCTGCGCCGGAGCCGTAAAGATCTCAAAGCTAAGAAATCGCATGCATTTGCAGTATCTGAAATGTTGCAGCATGTTGCAGCTGACCTTGCTGACCTTGCTGACCTTTCGTGTATGGAATTCTCAACAACATCCGCTTTGGGAGAACCCAGAGGCCTCGTCCAGCAGGAGAATGGTCGGGTTCGCAAGGATGGCCTAAGCAATGCAAACTCTGTGAGAGCCTTTACACAGTAATCATAAACAAATAATCTGGATACAGTAAGATATGACAAGATCCCAAAGTTACAAAATCATTGTGTGATTAGTTTGCCAAGTTGAGTGCAGATTTTAAATAAATATATTGAAATTATCAAGATCAAGAGGTCAGAGACACTGAACCACACCATTCAACTTTCTGACTATGCCGTACGACTTGTGGACTGCTGACTTTCCTGAGAGTTCTGCTCGAGCGATAGCAACTCGCTGCTTTTGGCCTCCACTCAGCTGGATTCCTCGCTCACCAACCAGAGTGTCCTTACTCCACGCAGCTGCGAAGATTCAATGGCGCAAAACATGTCTTGGGAACGTGGCAAAACACAGCTGAACCGTTGCCCAGAAAAAGTGCATGCTAAAACCAAGTCTTGGGTGGACCTTTCATATCTAGCAATGTTCTAGATATACACACTTATATGGTGACCTTGTGTGTATGTGCTTTCATGTGCTTTTATACTGAGTGTGTATGTATGTATGTATGTATGTATGTATGTCTGTCTGTCTGTCTGTCTGTCTGTATGTATGTATGTATGTATGTCTGTATGTATAAATATGTATATATATATACATATTTATGTATATATATATACACATGTATATATATATGTATACATATATATATACTTGTATTTAAATATGAGAGGGGGACGCCCCACGCCCGTGTAATTTCCATATAAATCTCTATTTTTGACAAAGTCCCTATATAATGAGTTTTAAGACCTGTTCTCATTGCTGCAGGTTGTATCGCATGACTTGTCACACTATCTATGTATATTTATGCTCCAGTCCGTAGTTCGTGCCCTATCCTTCTAAGCTACTTGGTGCGTGTGCCCGTCATGCCTTTGGAAGCGGAAGATATGACGTATGACGATTTGAAGGAACCCTTCGTCAACAATAAAATTAGATTCTTGACATAGAACCGTTGATAGCGTTATGTAGTTTCTCCCTGTGCATGTGCAATATGTTTTGTTTCTTGTGACCCAGCTGGATGAAATTTTTGAGGTATGCATATATATATATATCATATAGATGAGATCTTGCAGCAATATCGTTGGCATATATATGATATCTTGATGCAACATCAGTGAAAAAAAGGCACTCTCACAGTTCCCCGCTCTCAGAACAGGGGACTGTGAGAGTGTGCTTTTTGCACTCCTCTTTACACATTCTCTGTTTTGACATATGCATTGACTGGCAAGAAGAAAAACAAATGACAAGACTCAACTCTCTGCATCCTTCCCTTGGGGCATGAAAAGACTCAACTCTCTGCATCCTTCCCTTGGGGCCTGAAAAAACCAAAAAAAACAAAAAAAAAAACATGCCCCCAATGCCTACAGTCTCTAGAAATCTTTGGTTTTTTTGTTTTGTTTGTTTTTTTTTGTTTTTTTAGTTTTTTTGGTTGTTTTGTTTCTTTTGTTTTTTTTTTGTTTATTTGGACCTTTGTGGCCTATTTTGGCATATTTGGGCATATTGTGGCCTATTGTGGCCCTTTGATGATGTGAAAACACTGCAGGAGGAAAACACTGCAAAACACTGCAAGGAAAACAGTGCAAAACGCACGGGCGCACAGCGTCCTTTTCTGTTAAATATATATATACACATACATATGTATATATATATATATATCATATCTGTCTGAAGTCTGAATTTGTCAAAGAAAACTCAGCCGTTCAGCCACCAAACAATATCATGTGTTTCAGCTAAAGGCGTAAAACCATAGCCACTGTATGAATTGCCACTGCTCGGTCCTCCGGCCGAGTTTAATTAATCGCACAAATTTCGTCCAAACGCGGTCAAGCGACGTATCCCTTTTCCCATTCCGAGATGAAGCCATGGCCTCGCAGAGGCAAACCCAAACTGCAGCCGTTTGCGATGCATTGGAAGAAAGACTGACAGAAACCTCAAAGAGGATGCAATGTAAACACCTTTTCAGAGCAAATTCTCCACAGTAACCCTTGATCTTCAAACATGAACAAAATCATACAGAGTTCACCCTGCAAGCTTGTGGAATTCGAAATGCCTCTTGGACAAGCTCTTCACAGAGCTGGCAACTCCGATAAATTTGCAGAGCTGTGACAGCTGTGAGGCCAAGGCAATTCGCAAGCTTTGCAGCTTCCTCCAGCTTTGTCTGATCGGCCTCCTCCAGAAATCACCGGTGATGCTGGACATGACACTCGTGTGGCTTATTAGATTCAGATTGATTTAGGATATTTCAGGTTAAGGATATATAGTTACTGACATAGTTACTATATGTATCTATATGCTACTATACATCAGGTGCGATATGTGCGATGACATTCTGAGTCCTTCGGGTCAACCTTCCAAACCGCTCGAAGTTTTGCGCCTCCACTCCGAAAGCAATGTTCTCCCGGGCGCTGATGGCAAACAGGATGGGCTCCTCAGAAGGGAAGTCTAAGGGAAGCATGGGAGTCATCTAGAGCAGCGCACAATAATCACAAAATAATCACAATATAGAGAACCAATATGAACCAATATGAATGATATGAATGAAGTATTTGCGAATAAAGGCTTTTGGGAATTAGGAACCAAAATTGAAGCCTTTTTGGGCTTTGGACCATCTGCAGCCAGGATCGGAATCGGTGGAATCGGTGGTGTCCTGAGAGACGACTGCCATGTTTCTCCGGAGGAAAGACATTTTCAGCTCTTTCACCTGGCCAAGATGCAACCAATTGCAACGATGCAACATGTCAAGTGCGGTCAAGTTTGAACCACCGGTCAGCCCTTGAACTTTGTTGCCCACTTTGACTGCTGGTACCGCTCGTGCACTCAAAGGTTGAGTCAATCAACTGTCCGAGGAATGCTGAGCGATCTACTTGTTGCATGTCTATCCTTCTAAAGCTTCCCAATGATTGCCATCTCCCGAATTGGCCAAGGTGCGTCAACTCCATCGATTCTCACAGCACCAGCCTGTGCCACGATCGCAACATAGGATACCGCAAGCAAAGTGCCGTAAAGTCAGTGAATTCTTCCCGGGCTGGCCAGATATGCTGCCAACAAGATCAACGACCCAGCGACATCCAGCGACTACGGCAACTGTGCCTGGCAGTCATAGAGACGCTGCAACAGGGACACGCAGCTGGTCTTGCCACTGCCAGACTGGCCGACCAAAGCCACCACCTGCGGCATGTCACCCATCGCATCTGCTGATTTCTTTCATCCAGCTGCATGGCCTGCCAAAAAAAATCCCTCTGCCTGGTTGGAATCTGCTTGAAAGCTGACGTTTTTGAGCACTTGCGCATCTGGGCCTGCCCCAAATTCACCACAGAGAAAGCAAATAAAAGAATACCAATGCACACTCAGTAGCTAAACAGCTGAGGTTCCTGCGGGTTGCATAGTGAAAGCACACTTTGTCAAACTCAATTTTCCCCTTGCAGTGCTCAGGCTCCAGGGATCCATCTGTCTGTGCCTTAAGAGTGGCCGGCTATTCAACGTCCATAGAAGACCCATGTCCAGGTCCACCAGGTGGCCATGTCCATCTCCGTTTATTTCAAGGCATCCCACGAGACGGATTATCAGCGCCAATCCAATGTATATGTACTGCATATGTATAAGAGAAAAACTATGTAATTATATATATATATTCTAGATAAATAGATTATATAAATATCATATATGTACACTGTGATATCATACACACTCCTATTAGAACCCTGGATCAGACTTCAGTCACAAAGGACGCAAAGACGTCACTCAGCGCACAAGAATTTTGCAAAGGACATGAAGTTTTTGGACAAATTCTTCGACAAATTGCTGGTTCACGATCGATGATCTCGAAAATCTTTTGCGTCGCACCGATGGCCGCAGAGAAGGCTGGCATGATGCCTAATGCGAAAGGATTTTTGTCTGCAAATGGCTAATAAAAACAAAACAAAATGTTCTCGGATTTTGTCCTTGGATAATGTCGGCGTTTCCAATCACAAGGTCTGCTGCAAGAATCTCCGATTGGGCTTCCGGCTGCCAAGCATTGCCACAGATCCAGACAAGCTCACCTTGGCCCCACACTGTATGATGGGCAGTGCGGTGGCACCCCAGCTAGTGGTGGAACATACCAGAAATGCGAAATACTTGAGGGAAAGCCCGCAGTGGACCAGTCTCACATGCCCTGCCACTGATTCTTCCCGTGCTGCTTCAATTCTAAGCAAGTGCAGCCATCAAGTGAAGATGCAACAACTAATGATGCCCTCATACATCAACATCCCCGACATCGAACATCGACGAATCGACAACATCCAGAGAAGTGCTTGTCTGTGTCTTCCCCTGCAGTCGAGCAGCAGTGTAGAGAACAAAGGAGATCAGATCCCCCGAGCTCATCTCATCTTTTTCAACCAGGCTTGCACCTGAAAATCAGGACAATGACATGGAAAGAGAGGCCCAAGCTGTCTGAGATCAGTGCCGAAGCGCAACACAATGGTGAAGGCAACGAAGAAGAGTAGTCCCACCTTGACATGGTCACATAGGGCAAGCTGAGATCACTGTAATCGTATCTGATCAAATTCCGCTGGACTCGTCTGAAATTAGAAAGACCCGGTGCCATTGGAACAAAGGCTCCAACAACACCAGACCACGCTCCGTAGATCATGGAACGTTTCCAACCATAGAGATACACGCGATCACTGGCAGAACCTCAACATGGAATCCACAAAACGATGATCCAAATTTGTGTCTCGATGTGAAAAGAATTGGGCTAACATCTGGAAAATTGGTTTGAGTTTGAAACCTCTGCAAGGATTGATCTATTCGCCGTTAAATGCAAACAGAATGCCAAAGAGACGATGTAGGGATCAAACAAACCATATTGTAATATCAAATAGTGTCTCGCTCCCTCTCTCTCTCTGTCGGGTCCAGGTGCAATACTTGTACGCCATAAGCTTCTCCCCACATGCAAAAGCACGCACCGTGCGAAGATTCCCAAAGGTCTCAGAGGCAATATTCCCAAGTTCTGCTGTCCTTGGAAAAGAAAAGGACATCTTCCAAACAGTTCGTCAGAGCACGAGGATTCAAACACGTCTACTTCCGCGAGTAGGTCTTGTGACTTGTAGCACCGCTTGAAATGCCAGGATGTGAGTTCACCAACTTCTCATGCCCAGGTGTTTTTGTCAATCTTTGCTGGGATCCTACTGGGATCCTATTGGACGCTGATGACTCATTTTGTGCTTTGTGCGGTGTAACAATCCTCCATCAACCACTTAAAGTATATATATATATATATACACAGTAACCCCCATCAACATCTTACTTTCCCATCAGTGGTCTTTCCCCAATCTACAGTAACCCCCTACAATGTGGGGCCCCCTAGTTATAAGTTGGTTTATAACCCCATCTAACTATGGTTATAACTACCATAAACCCTAGTTATTGTAGTTATAAACCAACTTAGCTATCTTGGGGGCCCCACATTGTAGAAATGAACCCTTTTTTGAGCCATATCAACCCCGCAACTGAGCGGCTCATCCTGGTACTTCGAGCTCACTTTCCTCTGAACCTGACCCATGATCGCGGCTAAGATGCTGACCTCGGACCACAAGGCTTCTCCAGGACACTCTGAAAAAATATCTGATTTTAAAGGACGTGTTTAAATATGTATGTATGAATATGTATGTGTATATAATTATGTATATATATATGTATATATACGTATATACACATCATATATGTGTATATGTATATATACGTATATACACATCATATATGTGTATATGTATATATGTATATATATATGTTTATGTATATATATATATGTTTATGTATATATATATATGTTTATGTATATATATATGTTTATGTATATATATATATGTTTATGTATATATATATATGTTTATGTATATATATATTTATGTATATATATATGTTTATGTATATATATATATGTTTATGTATATATAGTCTTGTCTGATTGTATGTGAGTCTTTTCTGAAATCCAACTGCCTCTTTGGATCAAGAATGGGGGTTGCGTTGCTGCAATGGAATCGTCTAGCAGCAGCACATCCAGCAGTGCATCCAGCAGTGCATCCAGCTCTGGAGATGAGGAGAGGGGCTGTTTCATTACATACAACATTTTGTTTTGGTGATTTTTCCTTTCTCACATTGTTGATCTTATTTTCTGGGCAGGAACCACAACTTGACAAGCAACTCATTGACTACCTAGAGATTGGCCCTACCTTTTTGAATTCCTCCGGAACTTTTCCTGCATTGCTTCACACATGTTGATGCACAGTTACCTTTCTTATCCTTTACATAAAACTATTTTGTGAACATGTGCTTGCCATTAAGGATTGCAATCTTGGATGGGCAATTTCGCTGGGCAGTTCACATACGCTAGTGATTGTGCCTGGTTTGAATATATTTGAACCTGCAGGGCTGCTACGCCTTTTTAAAATCATTTCTATTCATTTCTGAGGTAGTGGGGCGGATGCTCCGTTTCAAGCGCTGGATATGCTCTTTCATGCAGCTGGTAAGGCTGACTCTTTGACATACAAGCCAGGATCTCATTGTTCATCTTTTTGATGGCCAGATATCTAACCCTAGTTGCAACATACAGTACTTAGTTCATTTTTCTGACACCCAGGTCAGGATCAGAAATCAACATGCAGAAGCGGATCTTCCTGGAGTCAAACACTGCAAATCTTGAAGAGATACTTGACTTACCCAATGTACAATCATACAGAACTTTGTCAGTTCGCTTTCTTGTTTCACCTTGTTTGGGCTTGGGCCCCGCCCAGGATTTGTGATGATATCTTTACACCTGAGTGTGACCGCCTCTCGATCCTGGATGCCCCTTGCCATTTGGGTTGCTGCCTGGGGTTGGTTCAGGTGGGTTTGGATGTGTTGCATTCTTTTGGTTGTATCTTTCCAGTTTTAGTTTTCAGTATCTAAGGTCAGTGCATATTGTGCAGGATTTCCCTGTACCCCTTATTCTTTGCTGTCAACTACACGGTTGATGCTCCACGACCAGAATGCTCAGCAACTTTACAAGGTTCTGAAGCGAGTGCGTAGGTATCGACCAAAGGTTTCTTGGTTGAATATTTTGTTGAAAAGATCATGCCTCCAACAGAAGTATGCAGTGGTCTTCCCTTCAGAAAATCACTTTGTGAGGTTGCTACACTAGAGAATGTCATGGGCTTCCGTGCTGTGTTATCCAAAGTCTTGTCCCTGATCAGAATGAATATTCCTGGGTAGTTTGGTTGCATTATGATGACAGCAGTTTCAATGAAGTGTATGTGTCATGTGGGCTGAAACCAAGATAAGGTATGAAATAACTTCCACTGTTCTGACCCCGTTCTTCGGCAGCATCTGCAGGTGTGCTGACTGTCCATCCTTTCTTGTTATGTCTTCAAGGGTTTCAAACTGTAGATATCTAAGGACATTCTTTGGACAACCGTTGTCTAGGAGGCGGATATTTATCATCTTGGTTCGAGGAGATTGCATCAGAGATGATTTGGGTCAGCCTTTTGATGACTACATTCTACAGAAGCTCATTGGAATGGGAATGCCTGTGAAGCACACATGGCTTCTTGTCATCAGTATAAACATTCATCTTTCCTATTGTAGTGTTATGTAGTGTTGTATCTGGACGTTGGATGTCACTAACACAAACAAGTCTTAAACCAGGGAAAGCCTGCTACTTCCCAATGATCACTATGTGGTTCAGAATGACTGCTACAAGAGGGAGAAATTGCGCCGTAGAAATGCTGAAGTGTGGCTGGGCTCAATGGGATGTCTTGTTAACCCAATACCCCTTGTAATAGAAGTGAATTACTTTTCCAACCTGAGGCCCCTGAATCGATCCGCAAAGTGGATTGATCGCCATAGATGCTGGGCAAGGGAGAATGAGGTGGGGCTGAGTGAAGGAGAAATAATCAAAAGAGTAACAAACCCAGTCAAATAACTCAGTTTTTATTGTACCTCCAGTCACCACTGGCCAGGTGAATGTAGCAGTGGCCAGAAGCCAGTTTTTGGTCAATTACCCAGACGCAGGGCGGTACATCACCACCCGTCGTGAAATGGAGGCCCGTCCACTCAAAATGCCCCTTTTCTTGTGATGTTTGACACATGTTCAGGGGCACCCTTTCGAACAAAATGTGTTTTGCGAGGCTATTGCACTACTCACAGCTGTCCACCAAGATGTTGTGGTG